AAGCTAGACCAAGGATAAAGGGATTGATGCTTGACAATGTATCACAAACCAATTTCTTAGTCACAAACCAGTTCCAGTCAGCCCAGACAAAATAGGCAAATGTACTCAAAAACATGCCAAGCTCATATGGAAATAAACACCTAACAAAAAGGACTAAAGATTTTAAGAGTAGTGAAAAAACAAATTACAGAGAACACAAACAAAAAAAGGCTCACTTTTTCTGTCACTCTCCTTGCTAAGAAGCTACTTCACAGCCCCCAGGTTCTCACAAGAGAATGGCTACTGGCATGGAGACAAAATGTATAGTTTTTCCAGAGTGACATTTATCTTAGTGCCAGTACGAAAATACCTACTACTAAAAGCAGAACCCCATTAAAATTTTTTTCCAATGGTGAGGGCACCTGGGTGGCTTAGTCACTTAAGTGTCCGACTTCTGCTCGGGTCATGATCTCACAGATTGTGGGTTCGAGCTCCGCATCAGAATCTGCTTACAGCTCAGAGCCTGGAGCCTGCTTTGGATTCTGTGTCTCCCTCTCTGCCCCTCCCCCCTCCTCCCCTGCCTGGACTCGGTCTCAAAAATAAACATTAGAAAAAATTAAAAAAAATTTTTTTCCAATGGTGAGGAGAAGATAGTGGTTAAGAGCCGCAGCCTTGCATGGGTTGATGCTCTCTACCACTTACTCGGTGTACAATTCTGGGTAAATTATTTAACTTCCATAGGATTCAAGTTTGTTTTTTTTTTAATTTGCTTTTAAATTTTTTTAAAAAAAATCTTTATTTTGAGAGAGAGACAGAGTGTGCGCAGGGGAGGAGCAGAGAGAGAGGGAGACACAGACCCGAAGCAGGCTCCAGGTCCTGAGCGGTCAGCACAGAGCCCAACGTGGGGCTCGAACTCACAAACCGTGAGATCATGACCTGAACCAAAGTCAGACGCTCAAACGACTGCGCCACCCAGGTGCCCGTTTTTCTTTTCAAACCAGTGAAAGGGGTATTCCAATTCCTTTGACATCATTCAATAAAACTGCAGTGATTTAATAAAAGCAGGTAAAGTGTTTATTATTTATGCCAAGTACTATAATAAAGCCATTATTGTTGTACCCTATTATATTTTTACTCCAATGGGGTTTTGTGTTTTGATTTTTAGAAAACATTTATGGTTGGCATTAATTTTGAAGCAACTATCCTTTAAGGGTAACGTTTATCACCAAAAAGGCTACGTTGTATTCTGTTTGCCAACGGCTCACCTCTGGCATTTGTGAGTCACTTTACCTGTGCTACTTACTCTAAACACTCTTACAGAAATCAGGCATGAAAATCCACATGTACTTCACAAGATACCGGTGATGCACATTTTGAAACAGGACAGAGTGATGATGAAACCTTCATAAACCGAGAACAACGAAATCTGGGTGCTAAGAATGGAAAATGTATAGTGGCAGCAGACCTCCTTTCATTCTACTAGGACATTCTTAGCAGAACTGTAATATTTTACAATTGTTCCAAAATTCATGCTTCTATGTTGTTATACAACGATCAAATGCCAAGTGATTTCTATTTTCCTAAAGGTTGTTTGCGATTCTCACACACCATTGGCAACTAATGGGATCAAATCCACAAGTGTGTTAATAATATTCAAGGTACAAATTCTGGGGGGTAAATGGAGACTTCCTTCTCTTCAATCTACAAATCTTAGTTGACTGGCTTTTTCAACTGAAAAGGACACTGATTTGCTTTCTGACAACTGACAGAAAATGAGAATTTTGACAAGTATAATTACAATGAAATGAGTTTTTACTGTAAAACTCTCATAAAGATCTACAGAAAACATGGTAAAGACACAGTGAATAACTAAGTAATCCTTTGAGCCATTGAAATGATCCAGTACGATGGTGTAGATCTCTTTCTAGATTACGACCAGTACACCTAATCACCAGCACACTCTCATGTAGATGTCAGAGTGCTTCAACAATATGAGGAAAAGCACACACCAAAAAATGCTTTCAAGTATGATTTGAAGAATATCTAATACAATTCAAAAGCACAAAACAGCCATCATTTATTCAGGTTTTGAAATTCAACTTCAAATTTCATCTGCTGTTTCCTATTCCAATTTATCCTTCTAAATGAAGGGTCAGCAAATTTTCCTGTAAAGGAATAATCAGAAATATTTTAGGCTTTGTTGGCCTTATGTCATAACTACTCAGCTCCGCCACTCTATTACAAAAGCAGACTTAGACAATCTGTAAACAAACAATGGCTATTCTAGTAAAACTTTATTTACAAGAACAGGCAGTAGGCCTTAGTTTGCCAACTTGTGTTCTACATGATCTGCAGGCTTTGAAGAAACTAAAAAAGGTAATTATATGTTCAAAAAATCAGGGGAAAGTGTTTTCCTTTTATATCTCCAATATTTACAAAATATGCACATGCTGTTCTCCCTAAGGTGAACATTAAAACAACAATAAATTAGCCATGTTTAATACCTGAAATTTTTTAAACTAAAAAGATCAACAATACTCAAATGTAAATATAAGCCTTTGGTATAACTATTAGCCTGCTGTATCTTAACAATGGGAAGAGGGGCGCCTGGGTGGCGCAGTCGGTTAAGCGTCCGACTTCAGCCAGGTCACGATCTCGCGGTCCGTGAGTTCGAGCCCCGCGTCAGGCTCTGGGCTGATGGCTCAGAGCCTGGAGCCTGTTTCCGATTCTGTGTCTCCCTCTCTCTCTGCCCCTCCCCCGTTCACGCTCTGTCTCTCTCTGTCCCAAAAAAAAAATAAATAAAAAAACGTTGAAAAAAAAATTAAAAAAAAAAAAAAACAATGGGAAGAAAAAGCAAAGAATATTGAGATCCATTTAGAAATCAGGATTTTAAATTACAAAAATATAAATACTTCTATTTTGAGAAAAACAAAAGCACAGAGGTAACATTTCAGAAAGCACACCTAAGAAAATACAAGATCACAGCCATGATAAAGGTGTATGATTTACCATTCTTTTACTTGATAAATACTGTGCTAATAAAGCAGTAAACGTAGTTGGTTTTAAAGTAATGACTTTATTAATAAATATACATCCATATGATGATGTAGATACGAATCATGAACACTACTCCATTCCCATACACATAATTGCACACGAGTAGCTCAAGTTCATGGACATAAAAACATACACAGTATCTATTCAGACTTTTTACAGCAGAGGACAACGTGCTTATATCAGTTAATTGGTAATTATTTTCTCTGTAATTATATGTGGAAAAAGGAAACTGTGAAACTTAAAGAATCAAAGTGGTCTGATTACTATAAATCACACACTTGATTTACTATAGCATTAAATTTTCCCGAAATTAAATACAATGTATGTGAGAGCACAGATTTATCTATTTGGGGGGAGGAGGAGGGAAAAGCAAAGGAAAGATTTAGATACATCCTAGAGTTCAGAGCATATAGTTAAGCTATAATAAAAACAAAAATATAATAGCATCAAAATATTTTATGTCCAAGGAAAAAAATGTTTTGAACAACTGTTGTGAATGTTTATATTATAAAGGGACCATAAAATTTTACTGCATATAGAGACAATGACTGACAGAGCAGCAGTTATTGTCAACATCCCCTGAATTCTTCTTTTAAAGCTTCTTAGAATAGAAAGTTTTTTTTTTTTTTTCTTTAGCTCATACACTGGTTTTTCTTACACTGGCTGGATCACCTTTAACCTAATAAATGGATCCAGATAACTGTTTTTTCCTTCTTAACTCAAAGAAACTCTATTACTTCAAGAAACTATTACATGTAAATTCACACAAACATCAGTTTGGAATGAATATTACTTTTATTACTTTAACAGAGATTTCCTTAAAAAATAAAAAATATCAAGAATATTTTAGTCTAAATGAACACTGATTTAAAAAATGTCCCCAAATATTAAAAACTAATCAGATGCTTATTTTCTTCCAATACATTGTGCCAGTATTTTTAAAATATCCAGTGCAAAACTCCAAAGATAGTATCAAAATCATCCCATACTAAAGATCAGTTATGCAAGATTTGTGAAAAAAATGAAAACTTCATCTGTATTAGCTGCTTATTTGTTAATATGATAATAAATAAGTCATGTTAAAATATTTTTCAAAGAAAAAAGGAAAGCAAACTTACTTGAATAGCACATCATTTTCTGATCAACAGTTTTAATATAGAATAGTGAAACCTATTTTGTGAAGAGAGAATTATACAATATAAAATTAGCAATTTACCTTTCAAGAAACAATCACACAGTTGGAAGAAAAGGCCAGTTTTCCCCAACTGATTATATTAAAGTATAGGCAATTGTTTAACATGCTATTTCAGTGTTTATCATGACGAGACAGTGTTACAAAAGATGCACGATGTAGTCTTTATAGAGAAGTAAAAATATTGTGTATTTTAAGACTTCATTCATGTTATCACTCTATGTCCATTCTCTTCAGCATGGTACCAATAAACTGTTCACAAGGAGAAAAGGAAGTGTAATCAGGAGATGCTCACCACCACACAGCTCTAATACTCCAGGTAAACGGTTACCTGAACAGAAAAATCCAGCATTCTAAACAATGTTAACCATTCACAACTGTAGCCATTCGCCTCTTTTTTTCCTGGGACATAACTCCTGATATTAATAAACACTGTTATGAACAGAATTCCTTTAGTTGTTTTCTGATTTCATTAACATGTATACAAAATTCATTATACAATAATACACCTGCTTTATCTTCTGACACACAGCACAGCACCACTGAGAAGATGTGCTGGAGAATGGGGCAAAAGGCAGGGGAATCAACGAAGCAAAGGGCATAGAGAAAGGGAAGGGTATGTACAACAAATCAGGGATAAAAATAAACTGAAAGGGAAATGTCAAATGGACACAGTATAAAACAACATGTAACCAAATCCTTGATAGTGATATATAAGTAGAACATTTAACAACTGTTTTCAGGAACTCAAAAGAGGATTTCTAAGCAGCCAACTGCTGAACATCATCTTGAGAAAGAGCTAAATGACAGATACATATCACAAAAGTGGATAGATGAACACAGGAATAAAGATGTAAGCATTTGTGTGTGTCAGAAGGTATACTGTTCTGAGTAAATTATTAAAAAGTTTTCTATTTTAAGCTTCTGTAAGGAGAAACTCTTGTAGCAATTTAGCTGCCAGAATGTTAGAACTGATTATATAGTCATCCACTATTGTTCTTTAGGGTTTGTGCAAAGCTAAAACTGATGAGGTCACTGTCTTAGATGCCAGTGCACACAAAGTCCCCACATACAATGCAACACCTCTTACTGTAAAGAGCAGCATAAGTCCAGCTCATTGTGTCAGGCATCACTGGAACACCTGAAGGCTTGCTGCTTTTTTCCTGATAAAAAAGGTATGAAACATGACATCCATTTGCAATCAGAGTTTGCATTAACTGAGAGCAAGCCCAAACAACACAAGATGTGCCCTTTTAAAGTTGTCATTATTTTAAAAGTTTTTGGGTCCTGCAAATCTACATTATAATCTCAAAGGCATTTAAAATCACAAATACATACATTGTAACTTTAAAGTTCATTGGATTTTTTTTCCAAATCTGAAGTTTATAATAGTTTATTTTATTTAGAACAAACTCAGAATAAATAAAATGTATATTAACAAAGAATGTTACTTTCAGCAAGGGGAGAGGAGAGATTTTCTTCTATCCCTACCATACACACCTACCCAGTATTTTTTTTCTTTTCTATCTTTTTCTAAAGCAAACATTGTTGGAAAAAATTTTCTTTTGGATGAAGTGGTCTTACCGAAACCACTGTTAGACTTTTAATTAAACTAACCAACATATTTTTACACGTTTCATGCATAGATGGATTCCGACAGATTTCTTAATATTTGGGTTCTGACAGTCAGAAAACAGCATTTTGTTTTTACCAGTTTTAGACTCTACCTTCAATTTGTGTCCTTTGGTAGATAGAAACCTGAAACCACAGTAAGTGCTAATGCAATGGGACAATTTCTTGGTAAAAAAACAAACAAAAAAAAAAACAACTACAAAACATTTTGAATAAATGAACAACATTAATAAATGTTTTAAGTATAATGCTTTAAAACTAAATATAATGAAAGGCAAAATGTAGTGACTATGGCTACATGCACACCTTAAGAATGATTCTTTCTCTATTATATTAAATATGCTATTCTCAGAATGCATTATATTTCACCAGAAATGTAATGTGCAGTTTTTATTAAAAATTTAATTTTTCGGTAAATATGAATTGTTTGTAGTGTTTGGTATGTATACTCTTAGGCAATTAAAAAATACACAACATATCACTGCTGGAAGGCAAACACTAAAGAATTCTTTTAGGAATAATGGTTAAATCAATCAATACCATGTAAATCAATAAAACAAAATAAATAAGTTTCTGCTGTTTAAACCTAGAACATTAAAGTAAGATTTTTAACATCTGAAGTCTGTGTAAATGCCAAAGCATACAAATATCTGTGTCCTGTCTCATGAAAAGAAATGTTACAAAAACTCACAGCCATTACCTCAAGTAATGCTGAATCATTAGTTTGCTTTGTTCCATCAGTTAAAAATACCTTAGATATTATTTTTAATATATTGTAGGCTTACTTCACGAATATGAAAAATTGTTTCAGTTGTTTAGCACATAAAACATCGATGCAGAATGGCCTAAAAGTAGTAATGACGTATGAGACACAACCATAACCATAACTCTAAAGGAAAAGCAAAAATGACAGTTAAGTATTACACTTGAACCTATATACAAACACAACGCCACTGCTCATGGCCTGAGGGCATCTGTGAGCAACCGGCAGTTTCTGAGCAAAAGCAGGAAAACAAATCAAATGGGAAAACAAATTGGGAAAGCCCAGGCTACAAAATCATGTATGTCAAAATAAAACCAAGAAGCTTTGGGATTATTCACAACCTTCCTTCTAAACCTGGCCCTCCTTTCCTCCTTCATTCACTCATTGGGTGGCTTGACTTCACTGCTAGTTTCCTCTACCCCATGAACTGCTCTGCCGTGCATCATAGGGTAAGGAAAAGCTGCTGTGCCACAGCCATAACCAAGATCGGCAAGACGGGATAGAGCTTTAATGCTACCTGGAGGTCTCCCTGGGCTGACTTTGTATCCTGCAGCTTTAGTTGTACCCAAAGGTCTGCCTGGACTTGTCTTAAATCCAGCTGCTTTGGTGGTTCCCAGGGGTCTGCCTGTGCTGGTACGGTATCCTGCGGATTTGGTGGTTCCTGAAGGTCGGCCACGTTTACCGGATCGGTTGAGATTTTTCTTTTTCTTTAGTTCATCTTTTATCTCTAGACTTCTGCCACTTGGAGTCTGCAAGTGTGTTTCATTTAATGGGTCTTGCCTCTGACAAGCCATTGGCTTGTGGCTGACTGTGTGGCTATATTTGCTTTGCTGGGAGGAATATATGTCAAACTGATCAGCAGCTCTCATGGCATCTTCACTGAGGCAGGAAGGCTTGCCAGGCCCACAGAAAGCCGGATTACTGCTGGCAACAGGATGCATCATTTTCTAGCAAAAACAAGACAAATATGCATAAATACACATATATAAATTTATACCTGTATGACAGCATTCAGTGGTATTGAAAATTGTCTTCAAAGAGCTATGCAGGCTCCCTAAAATTAGGCTGACAGGCAGGACTCCAGACCACTTATAAACAAACACACATCAGCAGATTCAAAGATAAACTTGTTTTCCTCAATTTAATCAAGGGTATGGAGATATGTCATATAAGGTAACTGAACTCTAATACTCAATTCAAATATAATACATTAGTAGCCATATGTTTCTCTGGTTAGGAAATGGAAAAATGGCAAGCAAAGAATAAATGTGTTATATTTTATTGGCTTTTTGCTTCTAGATTATGAAACCCTAAAAGGATAACAACAAACACAAGAACTTTTATTAACATGATTCTTTTTCTCATTTGCCTAACATTTTTAGAATGTCTCTTATTGGCCTTTTATTTCTCACATATACACTTCTTTTTTTTTTTTTTTTTTTTTTTTTAACCTTTATTTTTTTGGGACAGAGAGACACAGAGCATGAACGGGGGAGGGGCAGAGAGGGGAGACACAGAGATGAAACAGGCTCCAGGCTCCTGAGCCCTCAGCCCCAGGGAGCCTGGCCGGAGGCTCAGCCTCGCGGACAGCTGAGATGGTGACCCTGGCTGAAGTCAGCAGCAACCATTTCGCCGCAGGCCCCTCACACACTTCTGATCTGGCTACAATTTCCACAAGACACTTCCTCATTATAATTTATTACTGATATATAATCCTGAGTGTGTGCTACACTTTACAAAACAAAGAAATGTGTCAAGCAAAGAAAAGAATCTCTCGAGGTACTGACTCCCTTTAAACTAATCTATCCTCCCACCCCCAAAAAACCAACCAACCAAAAAAACTAATCTATCCAAACAGGAGGCAGTACCAATATAAAAGGTGAATAAAGGTTTCCATTAGCTAAACTCAGTCAACATTTATACAACTGAGACTTATACTACAAAAATATGGGTAACAATCATAATAAAATACTTCCTATTTTGAAGGTATAGTTATCAAGACCAAAAGTTCAGAGTGTAAACACTGCTTTCTCTCTGATCATAAATATGCATGGATCTTCTTCCCTTACAAGAGCCCTGTGACTAATTAACAGTCTAATCTCTGTTTTGTCTTGAGGACATCCCTGTGATTTTTTTCTCTTTATAAAGGATAGATTATAACCACCACTGTAACAAACCAACCCTTAACAGCCATATCATTTAGACACACAGAAAATGAGTTTATAGAGACTAAAGTATTATATTTCAATAAGGTAAGAAAATAAATCTATGGGTTCCATTCAGATTTAGAAAAAGAATCACAGGTGTATAGTAAGGTCTGCCCCCCAAGTTGTTAGATGTTAGCCTGTACCATACATGTAAAAGTGGACCAAAACTTCAGTTATGAAGGCAGAAAGAAATGGGAATCAAGTCACAGAAGTGAATTCTGTTAAATCCCAAAATATCTGCTGAAAATCAACAGATAACAGAGCTACTGGGCAGCTGGCTTAAAGCCTTAACTAGAAAGGAAGAGTATCTACAGTGACAAGCTAGTTGTTTATGACAGAAGCCTTACGGACTTGAGATCATAAATCAAGATTGAGTTAAACACAAATGTAAGAAGAAACAATTCTTCACTCAATCCCAAGGATATAATCAAAAAGAGGTTATTAATTATCACCTCACCAGCTCAAATTCTAAGTTCAGGTCAGAAATAAAGGGAAATCATCAAGATGTGTTCCAAATGTAGCAATATTAGGTGAAAGTTAACAGTTTTTGAGCATTTTCTAGGTGGCAGGTGGTAAGTTTGGCACTTGGCACATCATCTGATTTAATCCTCACCACAACTCTGAGGAACATACTATTATTAGTTCTATTTTACAGAAAATGAGAAATTTTTAGCTACTTGCCAAGGTCACACATTAGGAAATGGTAAAGTCAAACAGGAATTCAGATAATCTGACATGAGAACCAACAATTTCAGCATAATACACAACTATATCCAGCTATCTCAGTAACAGCACTATCATTTGGGTCATATAATTCTTGCGGGGGAGGAAGGTGTCCTGTGTATTTTAAGATACTTATTACAGCATCCCTGGTCTCTACCCACTAGATGTCAGTAACTATACCCTCTTCTTCCTAACAGTTTGACAATCCAAAGTTTCTCCATACCGTGCCAATATTCTCTGGGGGGGCAAAACCCACCCTCTACCATGAGCATCACCCAGCTATATTAAAATGAAAACAGAAGATCCATTTTAAAATATTCCTGTTTAAGTTCTTATTCACCTCTTTAGCTTATACCTCTGCAAAAATCCACAAAATATTTCTGTTAAGAACAATTACAAAGTCAAACATTTGTTTTCCAAATTGAAAAAAAGCTAATGCTGGCAGATGTGAAGGGACTAACCGCATTCCTTTCCCCTTCGAGTTATAAACTAATTGAGAAATATAAACAGGAATTAGATAGGAATCGAAGTACTAGTTTACTGCCAATAAAGTTGGACTAGAGACCGCAGGCAAATACAAAGAGAAACACAGACCTCTCAGCAGAAGATTTTAAGAGAAAAAGTGACCCCCTTTTCAATTTTATTATCCAGAAATCACCCTGCTGGAAAGAAAGCCCTAGTAAAAAGAGGTAGAAAGGTACAAGTTCTCTTACACAAGTAGCACTGCCAGTAAAGGAAGAAAATGTTTTCTTTCCTACAGTCTATTTCTTTTTTTTTTTTTTAATTTTTTTTTTCAACGTTTTATTTTATTTTTGGGACAGAGAGAGACAGAACATGAACGGGGGAGGGGCAGAGAGAGAGGGAGACACAGAATCGGAAACAGGCTCCAGGCTCTGAGCCATCAGCCCAGAGCCTGACGCGGGGCTCAAACTCATGGACCGCGAGATCGTGACCTGGCTGAAGTCGGAGGCTCAACCGACTGCGCCACCCAGGCGCCCCTCCTACAGTCTATTTCAATGCTTTACAGTTCATACCTTTTAAGTTCCTAATCATTAATTTACCAAAACCTTTCCTCTGGATCTTACTTCCCTTAACTTTACCTTTTCTTAATGTATCAGAACAGTCGCTATATATTAACATTCAGGATATAGAGTCTCAGTTTACATTACATTAGGCTTTCAACGGCAAGATGCTACCATGTATCTTCTACTCAGATATCAATCAACATGGAAGCAAAATACACTATTTAAAAAGTAGACCTGTAGGGGCTCCTGGGTGGCTCAGTCAGTTGAGCATCCGACTGTGGCTCAGGTCATGATCTCACGATCCGTGGGTTCCAGCCCAGAGTCAGGCTCTGTGCTGACAGCTCAGAGCCTGAAGCCTACTTCACATTTCGTGTCTTCCTCTCTCTCAGCCCCTCGCACACTCCCACAGTCAGTCAGTCTCTCTCTCTCTCTCTCTCTCTCTGTCTCTCAAAATAAACATTAGAAAAAAAATTTTTAAACAATGTGGTCGTCTGGATGGCTCAGTCCATGAAGCATCTGACTCTTGATTTAGGCTCGGGTTGTGATCTCACAGTTTGTGGGATCCAGCCCTACACCAGACTCCACACTGTCAGTGTGCCAGCCTGCTTGGGATTGTGTCTCTCTGCCCTGACCGTGCATGCACACTCTCTCTCAAAATAAGTAAATAAAGTTAAAAAAATAAAGCATCCTTCTACAATTCCTTTAATCTTCTCGGGGAATTTAGGCATTTGGTTTGTATTATGTTAATTTACTTCTGACACAGCTCACATTTATTGAGAGCCAACTCAATGCAAAACACTATTCTAAGTGCTAGGACACAAACAGGAGTGAAGCTGTTTATCCCAATGGAAAGACAATGAGCCACTGACTTAAGGAACATTTTTTTTTCATGTTTATTTATTTTTTAAGAGAGAGAGAGAGAGAGAGAGAGAGAGAGAGAGAGAGAGATGTGTGCGCGCGAGCAGGGGAGGGGCAAAGAGAGAGGGAGACACAGAATCTGAAGCAGGCTCCAAGCTCTGAGCTGTCAGCACAGAGCTGGATAGGAGGCCCAAACTCACCAACCTCAGATACCATGACCTGAGCCAAAGTCGGACGCTTAACTAACTGAGCCACCGAGGCTCCCCTTAAAGAACATCTCTAAAGGCAAGTCTTCTATATGTTCTGTATTTGCCATTCCTGCTACTGTCAAGAAATCAGTACAGTATTCTGCTTACTCAATAACTGATTAGGAAGTTGGACAAGAAATTTACTATGACAGTTACTGATGTAAATAGTTAAAAAGGAAAGAGTTAAAATCAATCCTTTCTACTTTTGATTTCAGCCTTTTAAGATGGGAATCAACAGCATTAGATCTTTGTGTGCATAATCATCTACACACATACACACAAAGAACATACATGTTTTTATGCAGTATTTACGTATACAGACGTTAATTAATCCTACACTTAATAATGTCTCCTACTTTGACTTCAGGACTTCACCATATTGTTCTTTCTTGTAAGGTTCTTCCCATGCTATTGTACAGAGTTCAATGGAAGTATGCAGGGCATATTTCTTAAAAGAGCCAGAATGAATACATTTCTAGAAAGTTCAATACAAAGTTTGGACTGAAAGAAAGCCAAGAATAACAGAATGGAATGTGTAGACTATCAAAGGTTAACTGCCTTTTAAAATGGTTCACTGAGGGGCGCCTGGGTGGCGCAGTCGGTTAAGCGTCCGGCTTCAGCCAGGTCACGATCTCGCGGTCCGTGAGTTCGAGCCCCGCGTCGGGCTCTGGGCTGATGGCTCAGAGCCTGGAGCCTGTTTCCAATTCTGTGTCTCCCTCTCTCTCTGCCCCGCCCCCGTTCATGCTCTGTCTCTCTCTGTCCCAAAAATAAATAAATGTTGAAAAAAAAAAAATTTAAAAAAAAAAAAAAAAAAAAAAAGGAAATAAAATGGTTCACTGAATATATGGGAGTCAACTAAGAGCTTCTATATATTTTAACTGTACCTAAATTAGAATTTTTAAAGCACACACTAAAACTTGCTATCTTTAAGTTGTTTTATCATGTTTAAACCCGAAAGTCCTTGGGTGAGCAGTTCTTTATGAAAGAATTCCTTTCCCTTCTCTTGAATGTGGCAGTCATTACTGCCAACATAAAGAACTCTAACTATTTTTAGTAGCTTCACAAAGCTTTAGTGAAGCTTTCTAAACATGGAGAAAAATCTTCCTTTCAAGAAATCCAAGTTCTGCTCTCTTCCAAAGATCAAACATCACATAATTCTCAGAGATCTCTTTCACGTCATTTGGGTTGTAACAATTATATAGAATCATATATGTGTTTATAATTATAAATTGAAGTCCATTTGTGACCCGCGTCACTCAGAAGGTCTATTCAGCTAAAACCAAAACAAATGCCAAAGCCATGCATCCTGTCCCACCACGGAAAGTTTTGTTACTAGGACAGATCATAAATAACAGCATTCTTTGTCTTCTTTCTACTCCTTAGTTGTGCCCCACGGAGCAGTTTCTCCGGTGTCAGAATCCTTATCTAACTTGGAAGTGTTTAGAAATGTATTAGCAGTTGTGCTCAAAAGCGATTATTAATGCATTAGCGAGAACAACTTTGCAAGACACATGTCCACACTAGAGAAAGAGTCCTGAATCCTCCAATAATCAAAATTCATGGCCCGCTCTCCGTGCACTTGGGAGTTCCGCAAGCTGAAGTCCACAGGCCACTGCATCTAGATGTCTCCATCTCGAAGCCGGCCGACTTCAATTTAAAGGGGCTCAGGAAGGACCGCTAATTCCGACCTCTCAAAGAAAAGAAAAGGTGACCCCTCCCCCCTGCCGCAGGAGGCATTTCCCCCAATTATGGCTCCACGCCGAGGGACGAACAGACTACGTCCGGGGCCCCTCCTCTCGCTTCGGGCTAGGCCAGAGCCCCTCCTCAGACGTGGGTCGGAGACCTCTTCGCAACAGCTGGCGCGGCCCCTGTTCTGACCGCCTCCTTGCCGCCTACACGAGCTCCCGCCGCCCAGACTCTGCTCCGAGCCAGACTGACAAACCCCGCGCGCCCACCTACCTCAGTCGCTGGTAGCCCGGCCCCTCAACGCGCCCAGGGGTTGCCCATCAGCTGGGAACCTCACGCCCGCACCGCTCCCTTCCTAGCCCGCCGCCTCTGCACTACGCGAAAAGCCCAAGTGAGAGGGGCAGGCAGCTAGGGCGGTGGCGGCGAAGTGGACGCTGGCTTCCAGCTCCCGCCGCAGCCACCACTCCGGATCCTGCCCCAAACGCAGGAGGAAGAGGCCGCCACAGCCCAGTACTGCGAAGGGAGGCGTGCGCGAGCTCGCAAGAATCGCGCACGCGCACGCACGCGCGCGCACGCACACGCACACGCACACGCACACGCACACGCACACGCACACGCACACGCACACGCACACGCACACGCACACGCACACCGCGAGACCCAGTCTCCCGCCGACGACCAGCACGCAGGCTCGGGGAGGGTAGCAGGCAGAGCCAGGCTGCGCTTGCGCGCCGTGGGGCCGAACAGGAGGCGGTGCTTAGGACCGCGCAGGTCTGGCTGTGGTTCAGGCCCAGAGCTGTAGATGACCTGGAGACCCACCGGAAGGGATGCAGCTTCCTTACAGGATTTTCATCGCGATTCCAAGTAGATGTTAGAACTACTACTTGACCCCAATTCTCAGATTAAAGGATTACTAAGTGATGGAGTCATGATTTGAACCCTGCTGCCTTGTTCCAAAAAGCGTGCCTTTAATTAATGGTGGCAAAAAGATGAATGCCTAATTGTGTTAGGTGCTGTCTAAAGCATGTTACAAGGGCTCAGCTTCTGCCCTTTAGCTGCTTATGGATGGGTAGAATGAGACCACCTAACAAAATGGGGAATATTCAAATAAGATGAGTTTGGGGCCTCAGACCTAGGGCCATGTGATCATGAAAAGCATTTTGTGGGACATCCTATACTTTTAAAAAAGTTTTTTACACTCAAGACCAGAATTGCCATATTCTTCATTCCACTATCACAGGAAGGGATGGGACAAGTAGTTTGCTTTTTAAAATCCCCCTCCCCGTTTGTAAAATTTCTGATAGTCAGTCCCTATACAGGACAATTAGCAAAGTTAATTTCCCCAGTTCTTCCTGCTGTGAATTCAGAAAAGGGAAGGATCCAGAAACAAAGGCTAATGAGAAGACATTTTATTTAGTAGTGCAAAGAGACTAGAATTGGGTGCCTTTCCTTTTTTGGATAGCCAGCGAAGACTCTTTGAGGAGGTAATTCTGCGGAATTTTACCTTGAGCACAGTACTTGGCCAGGTGCTGTTGCCAGTAGTAAGGAGAAGAAAATTTTCCTGGGTGAACACACAAACCAGGAGGAAAACCAAATATAATACATAAAACAGAGCAAGCCCATTCATTTTCCTAGCAGGCATAGTTATGTAACAAGATTCTAAATATTCTCATTACTTCTATAAAATGCTAGAAAACAAAACTGATTACACAGGTATAATATCAGTATAATATACTGATTATATGTGCTCATACATAAAAGGAAAGAAGGGTGCCTGGGTTTGTTTCAATCAGTTAAACCTCTCCCTTTTTTTAATTTTTTTTAAAATGTTTATTTGTTTTGAAACCTGGGTGCGGCATGATCAGTTAAACATCCGATACTGTGGAGTCGCTGATCTCACGGTCCGTGAGTTTGAGCCCAGCATCAGGCTCTGGAGCTGATATGGCTCAGAGCCTGGAGCCTGTTCAGATTCTGCTTCTCCCTCTCTCTGCCCCTCCCGTTGCATGCTCATCTCTCTTTGTCCCAAAAATAAATAAATGTTAAAATGTTTATTTGTTTTTTTGAGAAAGAACATGAGAGAGAGAGAAGTGGCTTGAGAGAGAGGGGAGACACAGAATCAAAAAGCAACTCCGGCTCTAAACTGTCAGCACAGAGCCCCATAAACGAACCACCAGCCGTGGGATCATGACCTGGAGCTGAAGTCAGGCAACCAACTAAGCCACTTGGGCACTGACCTCCCACTCTTGATTTCAGGCGCCAGGTCTTGATCTCTGTCAAGTTCAAGCTCCGTGTTGGAGTTCTGGCACTCCCGGATAAAGCCTACTTAAAAAAAAAAAAAAAAAAAAAAAGTACACAATTTGAGGACATATTAAGTAACTTTCCAGAAAACATTAGGCCAGATCTTCTCTACTCAAGTCCTCTTTTTTTACTTGAAATTGGAATTTCATAATACGTACTCCATACCATATCATGGCCATTCCAGATCCCTAATTACATTTTGTGTGGAATGGCATTTGTACCTCAAACCACTTAAAAAACAAACTTTCAGGGGTGCCTGGGTGGCTCAGTTAGCTGGTTAGAATATCTGACCCTCGATTTCCCCTTGGAAAACAGTCCAGAGTCACGGGATCAAGCTTCTGCAGTGTGGTGTAGACCTGCTTGAATTCTATCTGCCCCTCTCCTGGATCCTACTCTCTCTTTAAAAACAAAAGAAACCAATCAAATTCTCATACAAGGTCAGATGATTTGCAGGCCAAAAAAAAGGACAGATAGCTGGAATAACAGATGAAAAGTCATTCCTGGGTATCAATGCCTTTTCTGCTACTTAATCCTATAATTGCCTTGGGCAAGTCACTGCTCTTCTCAAGAAGTTGCCATTTATGTGAAATAAAGTAATGTCACTCCTTACAGGGATAAGGAATGAGCATGGGTGAAGATAGATGTGGATTTATGTTTTTTGTTTTTTTAGCTTGTTTTTTAAGAGAGACAGCGAGGCAGGGAGAGCAGAAGGGAGAGAATCTTAGCAGGCTCCACACTCAGCTTTAGGCAAGATGTGGACTCAAATCCCCGCGACCCTGCAATCGCTTATCCCTAAGCTCCGTCAAGGTCTGCCGTTTAGCTGGGTGAGCCACTCGGTACCCTGATAGATGTGATTCCGTCCCAGGTCTGCCACTTGTGGCTGTATGACTCTGAACAAGCAACTAGTCAGCTCAGCACTTACTGAATGCAAGGTCCTGGGGATATGGGACTAGCCAGTGCTCGACCTCAGGGAGTTTACATTCTGGTAGAGGCAGGCAAAGAAAATACAAGCAGATAATCC